ATGGCTGAGTCTGGGAAAATTCTTCTTTCCGGGATTAGATAAATAATGACCCCCCAAGACTCTTTATTCTGAATTGCTCTCTAGTTCTACTCAAATTCTGCATCTTCTCCCAGTTCAAATTCAAGAAAGGAGATACCACACCACCCACCCACACATCTCATTCCGGAATAGTATACAAACTAAAGATACAAAACTTCTCAAATCTACCCGGAAGTTGCATATTCAAAGGGTATGCTAATCAAAGTACCTATTCACATATAATGTGTTAAAGGATTTAAGTAGGCTAAGTGGAATTATGCCAGACCACCATTAACCAATGGAGACTAGGCTCAGAAGGCACTGCAAAGAATTTCCTGGACTGATCGTGCCTACCAAGCCTATCCCCAAACTGCTTATGGAATGTCTTCTGCTCCAATCTGTTGGAGCCCCTGTTCCATTTTATTGGATTCTGTGTGTTCCTCCTCACTCCCGTTCTGCTGTGCAAAATCCAAATGCCCTACCTGGGTTCCTTTAACATCCCAAATCCTACTAGTTAGGAAGGGCCTGGACTTTCTAACTGCCCAATGCCTATTCATCACTGAGAGTCCCTGATGCTAGACTGAGGTGTAGATCCTTTTGTAAAGGTTCCCTGCTATCGTCAATTTCTCCTTAAGCCCTCCTCTTCCACAATGACTTCAGTGACAATCTCCCAGAGAACTTCCCTGTTCACCGTCCCACTGAAAAGGGCAGAGAGTGATTTTGCTCTTGAAGACCTGCCAGCAGTTTGGCTCTGAGGGCTCAAATATCAAGGTGTAAGGTAGTAAGTCTTCTTTATTGGGAGCATTTCAAGAAGGGACTGTCCTCAATTCTCCAAATAGTGATAAAGTACACAGCTGGCAAATCTGGTGACGACTCAACTGAAAATATATTATCAAGAAGGTAAGGCTAAATGTTTCCAGGAATATAACTTTTTAAAAAGAAAATGCTTTTGAAAAATAAATCAAACCAATACTTTTGGAAGACTTTCTGGAGCTCAGACACTGGGAGGAACTAAAAGTAATCAATAAGTTGTCCTCAATAATATTCAGGTCCAGGACTTTAGACCAGATCATCAAGGCAACCAGCCTTGAGAGGGGAGTTCCCCCAGAGTTCCATAGCCATGGTCTTATTTCCTGGGATGGTAAAGTAAGACTCAAGTAATAATCCCACACAATGGAGAGAAAACCTTTCTTTCCACTCATACCTCCTTATGAGGGGTTAGTGGCAGCTACTGAACCAGAAACTATCTAAATTGCAACTAAATACAATCCCACACTGAAGCTACCTTAGTCCCTGAGAGGCAGGAAGCAGGTAAAACAATTTAATCTCACCTGAAGGGAGGCCTGGAGGCAGGAGAATCTTGAGCTGCAGGCTCATTTGCTGTTTTCTCCTTCTAAATCAATACATCACATTTTGTAGTTCAAAGGAAATTAAGTAGTTCCATTTCTGATTTACAGGCATGGTTAGTTGCACTTTGAAGGGTAGGTAGTATTTATACTGGGCTGAGTATTTTTTTTTTAATTTTTCTTTTGGAAACACAGCAATGGCATGTGTTTATATATTCATATATATATAAGAATATATTCATATATATAGTTACTGTATATAGATACTATATATAGTCTATATATAGTTATATATATAAAGTAACTTTATATAACTACACACACACACACACACACACCCCTACCTTGTACACTTTTTTATTATGTAACCCTGCTGAAACTGTGCCCCAGCACTGTGGCTCAGGTCATGCAGTCTCAGCTCTGTGCTGGGATCTGACGGGTCTGAAGAAAGGCCTTCAGGCAGAAAGAGTGTTCTTTCTCCCTTCCTGCCACAGTATCTGAAGCATCCACCATGAAAATGCTTCCATTGGGTTAGGAAAGGAACATAAAATTCGTTGTGAGCAAGAAGAGAGTAATACACTTACTTGTGGTCAATTTAGCATAAATGCTTTTGAAAGGACACAAAGATAGATGTGTACCTGCCCCCCACCTGCTACACCCTTGTTCTACTCTCTAATCTTTGCACATACCAGAGATTTCGTAAGTTCTGTGAGTACCTGGTTTTCTGCACGTACCAGAGATTTTGTTTTGCACATACCAGAGATTTTGTAAGTTCTGAGGCAAGGTCACAAGACGTGTTTAAGTAAGATAAACTCTTGCTGCCATAAACCTGCTCTCCCGCCTCAAAGTTTGAACCAAAATATCAGAAATGGCGGGAACCAATCATAGTTAGCCAAATCGCCTTGTTCAAACACTAGCCAATCATATATCTGATTTGTATAATAACTCTATGCCCACTTTTCTTAGACTATATAACATTGTTCGGAGCTCAGTGGGGGAGCTCTCCTGCCCGTCTCGTTTCTCGAGCGAGGGAGAGTTCCAGGTTCGAACCTGTAATAAAGATCCTTGCTGCTTAGCTTTGACTCTGGACTCTGGTGGTCTTCTTCGGGGAATAAACGGTCTGGGCATAACACTTTAACAACTCAGCTAGTGTCTAATAATTTGAGGACAGAATGAGGAAGAGAGGAAGTTATGGCTCCAAGAGTGAAGCCAAAATGTTGATGCTGAACATGTGTATAATGAAGGAGTCAGCACATTTGTTTTGTGTGTGGACTCTGGAATCAGAATAACAATGTTGGAAATCTGTCACCTCTACTGATCATAGTGTTTAACCTTTCTGAGCTCCACTTACCCCATCTGCAAAATAAGGGGTCCAGAAATTAATCCCCATGATGAAAGATACCAATCAGCTACATAATCCATACAAATAATATTTTCAGTGAGTGGGAAAAATAGGATAAAACTTAAAACTCTTCTTGCATAATGTGGAAAGAGAGAAGAGTAGTATCAGAAAGGCACCGGCCTTTGCCACTTTCTACCTTTATGACCTTAGATCACATCCAGGACCAGCTATGCAATTTGCAGGGCCCAGCGAAAAATGGAAAGGTAAGGCCCCTTGTTCAAAACTTTATAAAGAATTTTATAAAGATAGTGACAGAAAAGCATTAAGCAGAGTTCATGGCCCTTCTAAGCAGGAGACCTCTGCAAAGGTATAGGTGACACAAGATGGCCCTAACTAGCCCTTTCCTCTAGGTCAAAGTCTGGTTTCCTCAGGATCTAGCTTAATGACTGTCATTTGCAAGTGACAAAAAGAAAATGCATAGCATTTATCTGATACTTCTTGAGATTAACATCGGATATGTTAGCACGTGTTTAAAAGAAAAAAACCTGTTATGATCATAAGAGTGTACACTTACTATAACCCATCTTACAGAGCAAGCAGAAACCAGCCTCTTATGATTCATATAAGGGTGTACTAAGAGATATTTTTTCTCTTTCTCTCTCTTTTTTCAACAGAACTATTTGTTGGAGTGCCAGATTATTTAAGGGCCTTTGCATGTTTCAAGTCCTCTTCTTAAAGTAAGAATACTCTCCATATTTATAATAGCAACAAAAACACCAATGTCAGCACAAAATACAAAAACGGAGGCACTTCTATGTCATAATGATACATCAGAGTTCTGCTCACCTCTTTTGTAGAAAAAGAAGCTCAGACTTACACACATCCACTTTCTTAAGCAAATAATGGTTCAATGAAAGTTACCCTGGGAGGACTGCTGTTTCCAGCTCCCAAGCACTGCTCATCTGCCGAGGTGGGGACCCTATGACTGTTATGGAAATTGCTCTTAAATGCATAAAATACAGAAAATAATTTTTGGAAAATCCCTTATTATTCATTAAAGCATTTTAGGGCCTCATTAATCCAGATAGATTAATCAGTTGTTGATTTGCCAGGTGGTTGAGTATCCATTGTCAGATGCTGATGGGGTGTGAGAATTATAATTCTGATCCACCAAAGAGTCACCTGAATGAGGCTAGCAATTCATCAGGGAAGGCTGTATCTTCACCAGGAAGGCTGTATCTTCACCAGGAAAGGCTGTATCTTCATCAGGGAAGGCTGTATCTTCATCAGGGAAGGCTGTATCTTCCTCAGAGAAGGCTGTATCTTCACCAGGAAGGCTGTATCTTCCTCAGGGAAGGCTGTATTTTCACCAGGGAAGGCTGTATCTTCCTCAGGGAAGGCTGTATATTCACCAGGGAAGGCTGTATCTTCATCAGGGAAGGCTGTATCTTCTGGGGATAAATTAAGCTGGGTGCCCAGTCTCTTCTTTAATCTTCAAAACTTCTCTGTATCACAAAACATTCTTCATTCTTTGGGTTTGTTTTTGGTTTTGTTTCTTTTTTTTTTTTTCCTACCTAAGTTCTGAAACGATGTTAGAAGTCATTTTCAAAAGATAGTTGGTAACAGGTCAGTCACACATATGCACTTAGCACAGGAGCCCAACATTTAAAGACATGCATGTGCGTGTGTGTGTCTGTGTACATGTCTGTGTCTACGTGTGTCTATGTGTTTGTGTATGTGTCCGTATGTGTATATTTGTGTGTGTCTGCATGTGTGTGCATGAGTTTGGCTTCAACTTTGTTTCAAAGTTCTTAGCTAGAGCCTGTCCACATCTTCAGATACAAATACCTGCAGATACAAATGGTATTCAGGTCATCAAGGGGATTCTTTAGCCAGGGCTTAAAAACTCAACTTTCTTTCTTTCCAAACTTTGACTGAATGAGAGTCACATAACAGCAGTGAGCACAGTGAGAAAAGTCCCTGGATTAGAAGTTGGCAAATATGATTCAGAGTCCTGGTTCTATTTTAAGAGAGGAAGTGACCATCATTAGCAAACTGTCATTTCATCTCCCTGACAGTTCGAATTCATTTCATTTTCTCTCTCTTTAACAACAGAGCAACATTAATGTTTAACCTATGTGTCACACCAATAAAAGTCGGGGGTGTACTTCTACAAAGACAGACAGTCTCCAACCCTTTATGGAGATTTTGATCTAAAAGAGACAGAATGCTTCCAAGACTATAAAGGACACCCTTAGTCAAATCTTCCATGAAGAGGATCCCATTTTACTCACGGAACTGCTCTAGATGCTCATCACTGTTGGACTCAGGCATGGCCGTGATGGTCACCAAGGGACACGGATTCCCTCCCAACGTCTGGCAGAGAACATCTTGCCGGAAGTAGACCTCTTTGAGGTTGACACTCTTTTCCAGGATGTCAAGATGAGTCTGGAGCAGAAATAAAGCAGGCATGTATATTATCAATGTTTTTTATAACAACAGTAATAGAAAACAACAACGGCTTACATATAGTTTAAAAGTATTGTTGTTAATCTAATCTGTCCTTTATGTATTGGGCCTTGAGTAATTAAAAGGGGGCTATTTCTACTGTCTAGGAGAAGCTCAGTGAGACTGAGCAGGAAGCATCCTACCTGCATGTTTTGGCATAATAGAAGATCTGTTTTCAAGTTGCACTGAAAGCAAGAGGGAGGCAGGCAGGGGCATAAAGTCCTCTTCCTATCACTGTGGCATACAAGGAAATGATAGAAAATGGAAACTCAGAAGGGTCAGGGAGGGGGTGGAGGAGGATCATGAGAAATGTGTTAACGGTTACAATGTACGTTATTTGGGTGATGGATACCCTGAAAGTGCTGGCTTGACCAACTTTACTCAATCTATGCATGTAACAAAACTTCACATGTAACCATAAATTTGTACAAATAAAAAAATAGCAATCAATGTAAAAAGAAAAGAGACAAATCTAAGCATGCTTTCTTTAAAATAAAAAATTAAAAAAAAATGTGGTTATCATGAAAATAGAACACATCCAGAACACTGGAGAGAATGAGATAGAAAACTTCAACAGCACATAGTATCACAGGGCCAAGTAATAGGGAGAATTGTGAGCACATTGACAAAATAATAGACGTGATTAATCCAGGTGGACTGCTAAGCTAAAAGAACAAGTAACAAAGAGCAACAAATTTTCCTACCATACCTCCCCATTTCAATACTCATTTAAAAAACAAATACAAAAATGGAATAGCCATTGAAATTAGGACACCTGGTTAACAATCTTTTTTTTTTTTGAGACAGTCTCACTGTGTTGCCCAGGCTGGAGTGCAGTGGTGTGATCTCGGATCATTGCAACCTCCACCTCCCAGGTTCAAGCGATTCTCCTGCCTCAGCTCCCGAGTAGCTGGGATTACAGGCACCCACTACCACACCCAGTTAATTTTTGTATTTTTAGTAGAGGAGGGGGTTTTGCCGTATTGGCCAGGCTGGTCTCAAACTCCTGACCTCAGGTGATCTGCCCCGCTTGGCCTCCCAAAGTGCTGGGATTACAGGCATGAGCCACCACGTCCAGCCCCTGGTTAACAATCTTTAAGAATTCTGAAGAAATTCTCCCTAATCGAAACAGGGGCACCAGTCATAAAGAGGCTAAGAGATTTTCCCCCACCCGCACTGCATCCCCCGACAGTGGAGACTTCAGTAACCAGAGGAAACACTGCCCCTCTGCAGCACAAGAATACCACTGCCCAAAAATTATCCTCCCAGCTTAAAATTTAGAAAGTTTTTTCCACAATCAAACAGGTAGTAAGAGGTCCAAGGAGAAAACACCCACCTTGTTTCTTGACAAATAACTAGCCTGGTAGGTAAATGAAACAAAAAAACTTATGAATTTTTTAATAAAATGAATATGTAAAAATATTGACAAATATGTAAAATATATGGAAAGGGAAGTAGTGTCTTCAAAAGGTAGAGGAAGTATTTACATGTGGAAAGAATTTACTACAGATGGTAAGAATAGTGGCCCCCAAAGATGTTCATGTTTTCACCTTCAGAACCTTTGGTAGGATACCTTACATGGTGAAAGCGACTTTGCAGATATGCTTAGATTAAGGGTCCACTTGAAATGGGGAGGTCATCCTGCACTATCCAGTTAGGGCCAATCTAATCACAACATGATTAAAAACAGAGACCCTTTCCTGGCTGCAGAGAACCATTGCTGGCCCCGTAAGACCTCAGTCTTCCCTTGCTGGCTTTGAAGACGGAGAAAGGCATCATCAGCCAAGGAATGCAGGTGGCCTCTAGAATCTGGAAAAGGAAAGGAAACGCATTCTGCCCGCAGAGCCTCCAGAAGAAATGCAACCCCAAAATCCTGGTCTTTGCCCAGTGGGATTCATGTCAAACTTCTAACCTAAAAAGCTGTACAATTTTTTTTTTTTTTTAAAAAGGACCTGTTCCTGTTGAAGCTACTACATTTTTAATAATTTGTTACTGAAGCAATAGACAACTATTACACAAGGGAACAAGAATGTCCTAAAGTAAGTACAAATCCCAACATCTGAATAGGAGTAGACTAAAACCTATTTGTACTCTACTGAAATAGTTGACTTGTAAGGAAAAAGAAAAAGAGACAAGAAAAGAAAAGATTACCAGATAATTCTATGGCCTTTCTCTAGCCTCGGGGACACCTGAAAATTTGACCTTGAGTCATATTCTCCTTAAAACTGAGAACCAAAATCATTTACCTACACATAGCTTACCGTCTACATTAACATGACTTTATTATTCCCCAGCCTTCCCCTATTATTCCCCAGCATAACTTTACTGCTATGGGAAGACAGAAATTACAAATAAATATATTTTTCATTTCAGGAATATCCCATCAACTCTTCAATAGAAAGCATCAACCCATCTTTGAGCCAAGATTCTTCGAATCCCTCTTCTCACCTCTTTTCAAAATCCTTACCTTACAGTGTCCACCAATCTTAAACCATTACTTCATGATCCTTACCCAATCCTAATCAATCCCCCCTACATTAAATAAATATCTGCCTTTAAGCCAGGCTTTAAGGTATCAGTAAATATCCCCACCTTGCCCTCTGCCCTTTGAGACACTAGTAAGATTCTGTCCCATTCTTTCTCCTTTAGTAAATTTGTTTCCTACTACTGCTGGAATCACCAAAAATTTTGTACGTTAAGACAACACAAATTTATTTTCTTATGGTTCTGAAGGCCAGTAGTCTAAAATGGGTCCCACTGGGCAAAATTCAAGGTGTCAGCTGGGCTGCATTCCTTTTGGAAGCTTTATACAATATCTCTTCCTGTGTCTTTTCCAGCTTCTAGAGGTCACCTGCATTCCTTCACTCATGGTACCTCCCTCCACCTTCAAAGCCAAAAATTGCATTACTGACTTCTGCTTCCATTAAGTCCCATCTTTTTCTCTGGCTCTGATTCTTTTGTCTCATTCTTTTACTTATAAGGACCCTTGTGATTACCCTGCACCCAATCCGATAATCAAGGATAATCTCCCCATCTCAAAGTCCCTAATCACATCTTCAAAGTACCCTTACCATGTAAAGTAACATCTTCACAGGATTGGGATATGGAATTTTGGAGGTCCATTATTCTGCCTACCATGCTAACATGAGCAATAAACCCAACTGTGTCTTAGAAACAGGTTGTTCTTGTGATGTTCCAGAGAGCCAGGACTTGACACAATACTAAGTAAAGGAATTATAAGAAGCATGTTTATACAAGATTCAAGATAAATGAGAATCCAGCAGAGGCCCGTGTATCTAATCAAATCTTTGTACTTAATTGTTATGATTGTCCCTCAAGGAACGAGGATCAGGTATTGATGAGATGCAACTGCATTGGAGATTCGGAAGGAGCCACATACCCCTGAGAATACAAGATGACTAACTACACATACACAAACACACACACACAACCTAAACAACTAGCTAATCATGAAATCTGAAGGAAGCCCAAGGCTGATAGTATTCCTAGGCTGAGATGGTTATGTTCCACTCAACCTAATCTCTCATGACCATATAATTCCATAGTGAGGAGTTACTAGGACAAAGTAAGCTATACCTGGGAGTCCAAAGACTCTCACTAAGCCCTTTCTATGTGTGCTGTTTTGTTGCCCTCTCTGTATTCTTTCTTATGGATAGTAAACTTAGTTCTGGATAAAGCCTAACCTGTGTGTTTGATTGCCAATCTTAACTCACTGCTCATTGTTGCATAGAATGACACTTGTACCCTACACTGAAGATTATTTTTAAACATGTATGTGTCTCTGTGTGGTGTCTGTGTGTGTGTGTGTGTGTGTGTTTGTGTGTGTGTATGAATAAACCCATTGTACATATATATATATACAAAAAAATCATTCTTGGCTCATATTTATTCTGCAACACTACATGCTAGAGGAAATGAGTACTGCTTAAAGCTTGAAAGTAGAAGGGATTATAATCTAATAAACCTATATCCAACCAAGTTTTTGCTCATCAGCAAATGTAGCATACATGCTCAAACATACAGGAGCTCAGACAAAATATCACCTTATCTTTATTGAAAATAAGGTCTTGGCCCAGGTGCAGTGGTTCACACCTGTAATCCCAGCACTCTGGGAGGCCGAGGCGGGTGGATTGCTTGAGCTCAGGAGTTCAAGACCAGCCTGAGTAACATGGTGAGACCCCATCTCTACCAAAAATACATAAAAATTGACGGGCATGGTGGTGCACACCTGTGGTCCCAGTTACTTGGGAGGCTGAGGTGGGAGGATCACTTGAGCCTGGGAGGTCAAGGCTGCAGTGAGCCCAGATCAAGTCACTGCACTCCATCCTGGGTGACAAAGCAAGACCCTGTCTTAAAAAAAAGAAAAAAAAAGAAAGAAAAGAAGGACTTGAAGACACACTTCAGCTGCCCCCAAATCAAACAGAAAAGCAATATAAAAAGACTATAATAAAATCCAGTTAAACAAGCTTACATCTAAATGACTACATAAAAATATGGTTACTATATTAACATAAACACTAAAAAATCATTCTTTAGGAAGACAATACACATTATAAAATTTTGATGTCATCACCTAGCTCTAAAATGAACTTTAAAAGAGATGTACAAGGGAGGAAAAAGGTGGAACAAAATGTTAATGTTTTCAACTCACATAGATATAGAAATATTATTTAATTCTTGAAAATTGAAAGGCAGTACTTAGTATTGTGCCAAATGCAAACTCTCTAGAATATCACTAGAACAATGGGTCTCTAAAACAGAGTTGAGTTTATTGCTTATGTTGGTGTGGTAGGCAGAATAATGGCCCTCCAAAGATGCCCATATTCTAATCCCTCCAACCTGTGAAGATGTTATTTTACATAGTAAAGGAACTTTGAAGATGTGATTAGGAAATTTAAGATGGGGAGACTATCCCAGAT